TCAGGTAACATCACCACAGTAGCCCTAGCAAGAGTTGTTATGCTCTCGGGCTTCTGTGAGGGTGTAGAACTTGGTGATTCTTCTAGAACTGGCACCTGTTGGTTGATGGGTTCAGGGTTGGTCTTAGGTTCTAGAGCCTCTTTTTGAACATTAATCTCCCTCATTTGATCTTGAGATTGGAGGGAGCGTTTAAGTTCAACAGCCATACAGAGATCGTTGACTAATTTATCGGCTTTAGACTCAGCTTCTAGTCTCTCTCTTTGAAAGTCGTCCAGCATTTTCTGCATCATTTCTGATCCTTCGCATAATCTCCTCTCAAACTCCTTTTCCTTCCAGACTGACTCAAGAAGTTTTGCTCTTTCTCGAATTGCCACCTTGTTTGCTTCAATTTGCTCTTCAGCAAACAAAGTGTAGTCACGGGAGTAAGGTGGTTCGTACCAAGAGCCTTCAGTGAATAAAAGTTCGTCGAAATAGAAGATTTTCTGTTCTAATCTTATTATTTCCTCGACGAGGGGATCAGGTTGGTTGTCAGACATAGGCCCATTGTGGTCAAAGTCATCTTGGTCTCCATGGGGTTCATAATAATTATCCCCATTAATGTCTTGGTATGGAGAATATCCAAAGTTCCTAGACGGGGTATCATATGTTGGTTCCTCATGGTATGGATAGTAGTCAGACCCATTATCGACTTGGTAGTCATCATCATATGGGTTCTGATGTGGGTGGTAAGGTGAATGGGTTTGGTACGGAGGGCGGTTGGGTGAATGGTAGAAAGAAGGCGGACCGTAATAACCACTGGGGTTATCCATAATAATTATTACGGGTGGTTGGTGAAATTAAACTAATGCCGTGCCACTCCCCAACAACGGCGCCATTTGACAGTTGTAGTTTTTCGGGTAGTAAACCTTCCCAGTAAAGGGTTAGTTTTCTCTCCGAGTATCGTATCTCTCGAGGAGTGGACGAAGGGAATTAGTTTAATTACTCTAATTAGGCGAAGATTAGGATTGGTTTATGAAAGTCTTCTCGAAACGATTATAAAAAGAGTAGAGTAAAAATAATAAATTAATTTTACATAGTATAAGTGTAGATCTGGACCTAGGGTCAGGACATCAGTTGGATCTATTTTATCATATTAAATTAACAGTTGGAATAATAATATTTCTATTACTACTCATCCATTTCTAGATTTGTACTTAATCCGTTGTACTTGAATATCATAGCCTTTTGGCATACAATATTTTCTCAATAAATAGCTAATTAAATCTTTCGATAATAATTAACTAAATAAGGCAAGAACAATAGATTAATCATTCCAACATTAATTTAACATAAAAAAAATAAAAAACCAAACTAGTCCGGACCCAGAGATCCGGACCCTAACTCATACTATGCAAACATGAATTAAAACAACATTTTATTAAATAAAGAAAACTTACAACCTCCGTAAAGCGGAACGGAACAAATCTGGAGTCAAAACCTCCGAAAATACTTCAAACTAACTACTAAAACTAATATACAAAGTATTTGAATCAATTGAGAGAGGGGAACCTGAAATTGGGTTGAGAATGGATGGTAAAAATGAGAAGAATCGTGCTGTATTTATAGGAACGAATCCAAGGTGTCCAAGTCCAAGCGTCCAAGTCCAAGCGTCTAGATCTGGACGCCTGAGCTGTCCCAGCCAACCAGATTTTGCCACGTGTCATTCTTGGGCTGCAATCCAGCCAAAGCGTCCAACTCCCAAGCGTCCAAGTTGGATGCCTGGAGGCCTTGGTCCGTTGGGCTTCGCGGCTGTTTCGTGATTTTGGCCCAATTTCGCTCCGTTTTGGCCCTGAACACTTTTTTTGACCTCCCGGAATCTCGTTCAAGCCCGGATCTTGATCCTTTGATGATTTATTCCCATTTTCTCAAATACTTGAACAAAAATGGATGATTTATGATGATTTCATGTTGAATCCCATTTTATGACTCTTAGAACGAAAATGAGAGTTTTATCCATTAAAACCACATTTTATGAGATGATTAAATACTATTTACGTGCAATAACGTTTAGAATGTGATGTAAATGATAAGAATGAAACGGACTTATCACCGGACACCTAGCAAAACAACCGGATTTTCTCCATTCATGGTTGTTTACGGCTCAAACCCCCTTTCCCCACTTGAACTTGATCCTATTATGATAAAGCAGAAATACTGTGCGGAAGCCGAGGAACGAGCTAAAGAGATTCAAGACCTTCATGCCAAGGTACGAGAGAAGATTGAAGCCACCAATGAAAGAGTGAGTGCGCGCATCAACAAGAGAAGCAAGTCTGCAGAATTGAAACCCGGAGACTTAGTTTCGATTCACCTCAGAAAAGAGCGTTTCCCCACGAAACACAAATCCAAGCTACTGCCCCGAGCGGACGGTCCTTTGAAGTACTAGAAAAGATCAATGACAACGCTTACAAGATCAACCTGCCCGGAGAATATGGAGTCTCCGCCACGTTCAACATTGCCGACCTCAGTCCCTACTTTGAGCCAGAAGATGTTCCGAGTTTGAGGTCAAACTCTTTTGAAGAAGGGGAGGATGATATACCCCGGGATGCACCTTCACACATGCCACTAGTATTAAAAGAAATCAAGTGTTTAATGTCTTGGTGTTATGATCCATTTTGGGTTGAACTCATTGATCCATCCCACACCAAAACCCAAACCATGACCTATCTCTCCCAAAACCCAACCTAGGCCGAAATGCCTACAAGCCCAACCCACTCCCACATATCCAAAGTATTTTTACTACTCAAATAAAGCCCTTTTCCTCTTCTTTGAAGCCCTGGCCAAAATTGAAAGGAAAAGAACTCCTTATCATAAGTTGAATATCGCCTTCTCGTATCATTCAACTTCTCGCTGAAATAGGACACCGGGTGGCCTTCTTGGGAGAGGACAGCTCCTATCCCAACTCCGGATGCATCGCACTCAACCTCAAACAATTTCTCAAAGCTTGGCAAGGCTAACACGGGGGCGTGTGTCAACCGTTCTTTGATGGTTTCGAAGGCTTGTTGAGCTCTCGAATTCCATTCAAACTTCTGATTTTTGGTGAGGTCCGTGAGTGGTGCGGTGATGGTGCTAAAGTCTCGCACGAACCTTCGGTAGAATGACGCAAGGCCATGGAAACTCCGTACTTGCTGCATTGACGTGGGAATGGGCCATTCCCTTATGGCCTGCGTTTTCCTCTCGTCCACCTTGATGCCTTCACTTGAGATAAAATATCCCAAGAATTCAGTTTCTTGTGAGAAGAATTGGCTCTTCTCAAGGTTCCCATAAAGCTTCTCTTCATCCAATCTCTTAACCACTAAGGTGAGGTGGTTAATGTGCTCTTCTTCACTCTTGCTATAGATCAATATGTCGTCAGAGTAGACCACGACAAAGTGACCTATATATGGCTTCAATACTTGATTCATCAATCGCATGAATGTGCCAGGGGCATTGGTCAGCCCGAATGGCATAACCAACCATTCGTAGAGGCCAAACTTTGTTTTGAAGGCGGTCTTCCATTCGTCACCTTCGAAGATACGGATTTGGTGGTAACCACTTCTAAGATCAATCTTTGAGAAAACCTTCGAACCGTGAAGTTCGTCCAGCATATCCTCGAGCCTAGGTATGGGGTACCTATATTTGATGGTGATCTTGTTAATGGCTCGGCTATCACAACACATTCTCCCCGTACCATTTTTCTTTGGTACCAACAAGGCCGGAACAGCACAAGGACTTAGGCTTTCACGAACAAAGCCCTTTGTTAGTAATTCATCCACTTGACGCTGGATCTCCTTTGTTTCTTCGGGATTCGTTCTATAGGCTGGTTTGTTTGGTAAGGCAGCCCCGGGAATGAGGTCGATCTTGTGTTGGATATCTCTTTTTGGGGGCAGGCCGTGTGGTACATCTTCGGGGAAGACGTGGGCATATTGTTCAAGGATGGGGATGGCTAGAGGATGGGGCTGTTCGGGAGGGGTAGTGGGTTCGGCCATCTCAAGATCAAGGAGAATGAGGTCCTTGAATCCTTCATGTTCGTGGTGTTCGGTTTGGAGTATAGTGGAGATGAGGGATGGAGGGGTGTTGTTGCTGGTTTGGGCCGTGGGTGAGGAAGGTGGGGGTATGGGAGTGAGGGTAATTTTCTTCTTATTCATAAGGAATGAATAAGTGTTCAAGTAGCCATCATGCTGCACTTTATTGTCGAACAACCAAGGACGTCCCAAAAGGACGTGGCATGCATCCATGGGAATGATATCGCACCAAATGTCATCCTTATAAGTCTTACCGATGCTCAGTGAGATCAAGCACCTCGTGTCAACACGTAAGCCCTTGCCTTGGTTTAGCCATTGAATAGTATAAGGCTTGGGATGAGGGGATACCTTCAAATGTAGCTTTTCCACCACTGTTTTGGAGGCCACGTTAGAGCAGCTCCCGCTATC